GCGCTCAAGAATGTGAAAGATATTTTTGCAGAAAGAAAAAACAGCAAATCGAAGCTTATATATGATAGATTTTAATTATAGGTATCTGCACATAGTATACTGCTGATTTTAATCAATCTCAAATATCTTTTATTTTTAAGAATTATATTTATATCCTTCTATTCTTAGTTTTAGTATTAAACAAATTTGTAAATAATTATTGTAAAATGTGTAACTTTATTTTGTGCAACCCACACACGTGGTATAAATTACGTAGATGTCTGATGGGGAGTGTTATGGGCGAAAATGAGGGGACTTGACCCTCCCCCTCCCCCAAAAAAAAATTCTAGTTACGCCAATGGTCGCAAACAGAGACTATTTGATTTGAGATAGACATAAGCTCGTTAATGTCGAGCAAAAAAATTATTTCAAGACCGTTGGAGTACCCGAAGGACGTCGCATACCTAATTCGCGTAGTTACGGTGTATCTTTCGGCAAGAAACTATCTCGTGAAAGTAATCCTTAAACCGCGGTGCGCGATGTCTCGTTTACTCCGTCATTCCGGCAAGGTTTACAAGTACAACTGTTTAGTTGGAAGTGATCCGAGGCCGAAACTCCGAAGAATGGAAAAGCTCGGTCGTTAGCGGAATTCGCGAAGGATACACCGGGAATTGCGCTCGAGGAGCGGCAGCGTCTCGAAAAACAAAAAGAAAGACTGCCACCATGTAGGTGGCTGCACACGCGCCTGTTTGTCGAGTTTCGAGTGGGAACTTGGTACGGTCTGAAAACTCTGTCGTGCAGACTGGTTTCCTTGAGCCCGGCCACAATAGCACGTTTACTCACTCTGGTCACGTACGCGAAGGCGGTTGTTTTGGGGAACCCTGGCTCAGGGGTTGCGTGGGTGGCCGTAGGATTTGGTGAGGGGATGGGAACTGGTGGAGATGTGGGAGGTGGGGGTGAGAGGTCTACGGAGCGAGGACGCGCACACGAGACGCTTTCGGCAAAATGGCAAAATACGAGATCCGAATTATTGGTCTTCCTCAAAGCACCGCGATTTCCAAGTGCGACACGTATGAGGAGGATATATCGGGAGTACGAGAGTCCTTCCTTTCACGCCCTGCGAGGAGACTGAAGAGAGGATCTTTGGTCGTTACGCGTGTCCTCGTGGGCCGATCCCCCTTTTCGTCGAGAACCGACCGTCGACTCTACCCCGGGAGGGGAAATGCATGTCGAGGATGTAATCTTCTGGCTTTCGAGGGTGGAAATTGAGATCCCGACGACCCACGTCGAAACACGACGACTTGTGAAATGACGGATGTCGGGCGAAACGCACCTGCTACCATGCCGAAGGAAATCGGGGCGATCGAATTATTTCTGCCGAATGTTCGATCGTTGAAAGATCCAGGGGCGGGGGGCAACCAAACGTTTCTGCCGGGGGAGATTCAGAATTTTACGAAGGGCGAAAGAACGTAAGAAATAAAAGAAGAAACTGGCGGTCAGGGAAAATCCGAGTTTAGGTCTGAATATAAATCATTACGGATTTAACTTGCTCCTTCTCCTTTGGGTATAGAGGGTCGGATCGATTTGGGGTATTGGAAATTATTAATCGGTACACCGTAGTAGTCGTATTTTTGAACAGATTGGAAAAGAGCAAATTTTGAAAAGACGTGAATACAATCGAAATAATCAAATACGGACAATTAACTGCTAAAGTTTATTTAATCTATATTCATTTAATAGGTAATCTAAAATATTAAAATTCTTAGACTTATATTTCTACATATAGCTTTGCTTATAGAAATTTTTGAAATTAATTCTACAAGAAGAAATATCTCGTATCAATCAGAGAATATTTTCTTTATTACTGTAGAAACTATTTGACCGTTTAACAAAAATCTGTAAACATAAAACTTAGAAAATGTTTCGATAGTCCACACACAGACTCCTCTCGATTATCGTCTGACTTGTTCTACACGATTATTGTCCAGACGATATCCCCATCACTGGGGAGGGGGGCGTGGAACCTGTCAAGCGCATACTTTGTTGCCCCTCCGCTTTTATTGCCGAGGCTTATTTTTTTTACTGTTAAAATATATAATTCTTATTGTAATTTTTTTTCTTTTCACCTACTTGTAAGTTAACATTGTTAAATTACACAGTCCAAACCTCATATCAATATTCTCTACGGTTCAAAAGTTATATCAAAATGTCACTGGATTTTTCAATTCCGACCATTGTGCGCGACTCCACGGTTAACAGATTTTAATTGTACTTGATCGAACCGCGTAACTGTGAATGCTCTCATTGGATTACATGTGAGCGATATTGACCGATGCCTGATTTCACATGAACTGACCGTGCCGTGAACGCTAGTGCAAATCCAGTATTTATGTAATAAACAATTTCCCAAACGTTTTATTTCCACAATATTTCAGCAACAGCTGGAAATTCGGGCGCCGATCATCCATCTTTCGGACATTACATATTATCAGAAGAGAAAGATGGCTCTTTTCGATCGAGGGAGTAATGCGTTTCACGCGTAACCCAATTATCAAACGAAACGACGGGTCCGCCCACGAAAAGCACGCGGTCCGCACGCGTGAGAAACGAGGGGTCGGAAGCTGTCAACGAAAATACATCATTTCACACTTTAACGATAACGTACACACGCACGTATAAATAAACAAGCGTGGGTGGTTTGAACGAGTACCCAACATTGCGACCGGTGTTCACGAACCAGTGAAGTACACGTCCCGACGAACCACAATGAATGACATATCCACGTTTTGTGGACGAGCGAAAATTACGATGTCGACATTGTAACGCCGACATAGATGAAAATTCCGCTGGTTAGTCGCGTTTTATTTTAACTTATGTACGGATTCAATTACATTGCCGCGTAAATACGGCCGATCCCCTCGCTGTTTTCAAATGTAAGCTTGACGAAAGGGCACATAATAAAAAGAACAATTTGTTTATTATACGGTTTTGGTATTCAGTTTATTGTGCAGAATGTTCCATGCTGAAACTGAGAAACCCTAACATATTTGGCTAATCATTCTATGGCCACAAAGATCATACCCACAATGGGCACGTTTCAATTTGTTTAAAAAATGATAAGGAAACAGACACTTCAGGCCTATAATGTACAGTCATCATTACTTCTGTTTTTTTTTTTTAATTAAAAATATCGATAAACTTTTAAACAACGACCATCACTGTGACTGAACCACTGATCAGTATACATGTATGGATACGGGACGGTGTATATGGGGTTGCTGCATTTTGAAGGTACGCTATTTTTGAAAATAAAGCAACTTCGTCGCCTACATAGATTAACGATAATTAACACTTTCCATTCATATGTATATCTATTCACATATATTATAGTATACTATGCAGGATGTAACAAAAATATTGTCCGACCCGGAATTGGGGCACTCGGGGGGTGAATTGAAACAAGTTTTTCCTTAGCAACAATGTAATCCGAGGCTTCGTTACCGAGATATTAACCAAAAACCCCAACCAATCAGAGCGCGAGTTTGCCAGCCGAGTTCCCGCGGTAACGCTGCCTACCAGTCGCAGCGCGTAGCCAAAGTAACCGTGGTAACTCGGCTGGCAAACTCGCGCTCAGATTGGTCGGGGTTTTTCAATAATATCTCGGTAACGAAGCCTCAGATTACATTGTTGCTAAGGAAAAACTTGTTCCAATTCACCCCCCGAGTGCCCCATTTACGGGTCGGACAACATTTTTGTTATACCCTGAATAATATTAGTACTTGCCTCATCTAAATTTCTAACTGATTTATCGTTCACACCTTATGTTCTTTATATGCAACAAATAAGTACATACATATACTTTGTATTACTCTACAAATTATACGAACAAGCATACATGTGAATAGAAAGCATTAGTTAACGTTAACCTATGTAGGCGGCGAAAGTGGTTTATTCACAAAGATGGCGTACCTTCAAAATGCAGCAACTCGTGCTATGCTTAAAAACCCCCATCCCGTATCCATATATTCAGATCAGTGGACTGAACCTATAATTTCTTAGTACACTGTATTGGAGTAACGAGCAGAGCAATGCTTACTATATGTACGATGAACGTTAAAAGTGACGAGAAACAATTCTTTCTTTTTCTTCGCTGTTATCGCAGCTCCAACATAAACGTACCCTAAAGCGTAACTAATTCTTGATCCTTGCTACCTGACACTATAGGGGATAGACTGTATTTAATGTAGTGGGGCGACATTCATACACTCACTTAACTGTAAGTACTCAACACTTGAAATTTTTGCTGGTGCGATTCGCATCAATATGCCTATCAATGGTTGTGAATAAAGTTTTAAGCAAATTATCCAAGATAAACAACGTTACATGACATCGCTGAATTTGTCTCCATGTCACTTGCGACACTGGATAGAAAAACAATTATATGGTGCTATTTGAAAAAATGAAGGGGACCACGATTTTTATTTATGAGAAAGTTTGTCGGCAAGTTTCAATGTTACAATTTATTGCTGATTGAACACTGTCGAACTTTTATTTATAACAGATTTTTGTCAGTATATTGAAAGTGTCCGAAAAATCGTGGCGATGAACGACACGAAGTACATATTCATAGTAAGCGAGCCTAAAATTCTTCAATAATCACATCTTCCGAAAATATACTCTTCAATAAACAAATTCGAAAACTTGAAGAAAACCACGCTTTCATGTTAATTAGTAGGTACGTCGTTATTTTTATTAAAAAGAAGCAAATAACCATCATTTAAATTAATTATACCGAAATGTTCTTTTGAGTGTCGAGATTCACTGCGCGCTATGTAAATATTTTAGCAATGCAGCAATTTTCAATCAATCGCGTTTTGCAAATTAAACGCAAACGTGTTTCGTGTGCGAAGTGTCTGGATGAAATATTCGCGATCGATCAGGGACTCTCGAAATAAAATTCAACTTCGTCGAGAGTTGAAAGCCGATCGGTCACAGGGCGCACGGGCAGAGCGTAAAGAACGATGGGTGGTATTGAAAATCAGCCTCTAATCCGGAATAAATCGCGACGTATGCCAACAATACCGGCGAGCAAAGAGGATCAGCTAACGGGGAAATATTCGGCGAAAAGAAGAGGAATAGAAAGGGAAAAACGAGCGACTCGTACCCTACCGTTTCGAAACTTCATGGAAAGGAGAACAATAAATTCACGGGGCTGTGGAGGTTGGCAGAATGCAAAAAGCCGTGAGGCAAGTGCAATGAAAGTACCATTTGGTACAGCACACGTGGTACTCACCCTTAGGACTGGTGCGTGCCCCGAATATAATTTATTACTGTTAGAATTTTGTAGGGTCCCGTGGACCCTCTGTGTGAGACAGAACGCGGTAACAACCCTTAAGTTTTGATAGCCAGTCTGAACAGTGTAACTTCAATGCCATGGTTGCCGTGTAGTTTGGGCCCTTGTGTTAACACTTTACAATCCCCTAATGGTTTGCATTTTATAACGTTCCCCGCTTTCCTATTTGAAGTGGGACAATGTGCTTTATTAGGCCTACCGATGACGTTGATCGAAACGATTCCGAAACCCGTGTTCGGAGCCACTGACGGTCGATGAAATGATATTTTCGCTTGGCCAGACGGGAACGGTGATCAGTGAAATATCGTTTTCCTTTCGCTGAACGTGAAGCCGGATCGGCGGAGCGTTATTTTCATTTCATTTACTTATTCAATAATATCGCATGAATTTTAACCTGATTCGTCGATTTCGTGTAAATTTCGACGCACACGCTGCGGCAAAAGAGCCGTATAAATTTTCAAAGTTACATACGTTGTATTTATCTGCGATTCAGATTCACGTACGATTAAAGGTACATATTGTGTATGAATTCTGTTTCGATTTAAGTTTCAAATGGACTTCCCTCTGTGCATCAAGTTTTATCGGAACATTTTACATTCGCTTGAATACAATATTTATTGGTGAAATGTAAATCGACGTATTATTTTATGTTGCTATACTGAAGTTAAATACATTTATTTTGGATGAGCGATATCTCTTTTCCTAAAATTTCATTAAATTTAGCAATTTCATTTTATGAACATCATAAACGTAGAAAATAATAAGCCGAAAAACAAATTATAATACTTTAAACGAATTACCTGACATTATTACTATTGGAGGAATGAAATCTTTGTGTCTCTAACGAAAACACAACAAATATTATTATTTACTGTAGGTTTATTAAGTATTAATCCATCCTATATGTACATTGAATGTTATTTTTTAAGGTTGATATTTGAACATTTTCAATTTTATGAAAAGTGCTTTAACTGAACCGTACAAACTGTTTGCAAGTGTTTATTATAGAATAATAGTGTAACAATATTGCTTGTATCAATTCGGTGCACTATTTTTCTAATAAACTATGTGTCCATTCCTAAGGAAATATAATATATCATAATTATTTTTCACTATTCGACGCCATTTTTACCAAACGAAGTGTTTGGGAGAAATTCTTAATTTCAATTAGAATCTCGGGCAATCACAAAAATAGTTGGTTACTTATCGATGCACCAAGAAACAAAATCTATAAAATTTATCACTTACACTTCTTTTGAGATTTCTAAACTGAATATTCGAATCTCTCGTTATTACATAATCTTATACGCCTTACAGATATACATAATATTTTCTCGCCAAGATTACTCTAATCCTCGAGCATCATTAAAATCCCTTACACTAGCGACCATAGAAAGGGATTACTATGTAATCATTTACTTAACGGCTTACTTGTAGTCGATGCATCTATGCACAGCTTCCATAAACGAGAACGTGAAATGCCTATCATGAATCCTCCCATTGTGATGTCCCTGAATTCCATGCTGGTACACCATGGATAATCCGTATATCAGGGGGAAGAATGAATGTTTCCGAGATTCTAAGCACTGGGACACCATTACATGTCACTATTGTCGTCACTGCTGCGTGAGGCTATCCTTTTGTTATCTGAGCAACGCTTCATAGACGACCCATTGGTCGTTGTGGTCGATTAACCCCCTGCGGTTCCCATCGTTTCAAGAAAATCGGTACAAAGGTACCGATAAATCATCGTTTGGGACTTCCACGGTAAACTATCACTTTCCCCGAGTCATTTACAATCTGCTAACGGAACGATTATTATTTAGATTTGCACATCCGTTACGAACAACCCGGATATCGTGAATTAACCAATGAAAATAGCGCGGAATTTGTGGAAAGTAAATAACTGATTCTTATATCAAATACCTTGGTATGTCACTGTTGTCATTATGATTAATGTTCTTTTTATTGGAGGGCTATCGAGTGACGTGTAAGAAACACAGAAGAGTCAGGGGTGCGAGCTATTCTTCTAGTACAATGGTTTTCGAAGGAAGGTTACTAGTTTCACGATTAAAGAATCCATATCTCACACCTGTGTCGTCATTAAACCGCTACTTTTAACTACTCAGGGTAAAATTGAATTGCAACGTAAACAATTTTTCGAATAGTTAACATAATAAATAGCATTCGATAGAAAATTCTCGATAAATTTCCTTCGTTCCTTGTATCGTATTTTACTCACTGAGAGTAACTTTTCAGTTTTAGTAAATCTTTCTTTTTATTTATTTATTATCGCATCAACCTGTTTTAGTAAATATTTATAACTAAAGATATGTGGCGTACACGGCCAGGTACATAGTAGTACAGCTCCTAACCTTGAAAATCACAACATGACACGGAAATATTAATATAGCATACTATTCCTTTGAAGATACATGCCTACGAATTTTACCTGCCTCAAAAAAACAAATAAATTGTGAATCGCAAAAACTTTTTTATAATGTAAAATATGGATTTTCCAACTGATTCGTATTTTGTACCTTGATACATAGTATATAGTTTTTATACGCATGCAAAGAGTCTAGTAGGGCAGGGATGTCAAACTGGTGGCCCTTTATATTTTGTACGAATTGCAAATATTGTTATAATGTAAGTAATTCTACATTTCTTTGTATATAATACATAGCGAGACTTACACTATGATTGTTCGGCTAAACTGTGAAATTTCAAAATTGAAACAACTAAATAAAATAAATACATATTGTACGGCTCGGATGAATTCTACGTGTTAGACAAATGGCCCATGATTGACATGAGTTTGACACCCCTGTAGTAAGGTTACAATTTTTGCTGTCATTATCTGCTAAACAATATGTTTTGTCTGAGACACCATTCAAATATAATTTTTAATATACTTTTTAAACAAATGTTACTGGCTACTCGGCTACTCGGCTGAAATGTGACAATGCAACTTCAAGTGAGACTACATCTAATAGTTAATTGAATTGAGTAATCAAGGAATGAATATAAAAATGACTGTAACTCGGGAAGGAGGTCAAACAGAGAACATGTATGTTATATATAAACTTTTTACATTATTTCTGCTTCCTCCGTCCACCGTTGAAGTGGGTCCCACTTGTTATGAAATATCCCACTTGTTATATAAATCATGAGACATAAATTGTAAACCTAAATGACTAAAGAACACCTTCTTCTGGATTTATATCAACTGAATAACCATCAACTTTTAAGTAACACATAATAAAAATATAGAAAATTATTATGATTGATATTAAAAAAAAAAATTGTATTTACTGGAATATCAAACTTGAACCGATTCCTGTGGCAATTGTATTCTTCGTGTCCACGTTCGCTCCACCCGCGTGTTCTCAATTAATACTGTTTTAGTCTATTCCCAAGCCCCCAAATTCCCTAAGCCCAGGGTGAATTAAACTTTCAAATCATTTTGACTGAAAAACAAATAACGAGGCAAATCGAAGCTAGACAAGCCCAATTTGTGCGTCGCGTCGGTCGATTGTTCCATTGTGAGACAGAAAAATACGACCGGCAATCGCAACGAAAATAACAAATAGCATTTCGCGACACCTATAAAAATTGTACACCGAAGGCTCTCGCGTTCGCGTGCGGATCATAAAACGGCGACTCAACCTCGAAACATTCCGATCTGAATCGTTGCCACGATCTAGAGGTTGTTGGAGATCCTTTATTTTATTCGACGCCCGAAACGTACCACTGTAAATCGACGTCTGGTTGGTCTGCCTCGGGTCAGTTTTGATTGCGAACCGCGTATACCACAATTTTATGTCGTGGAATCGCAGGCAAGGGGCCACCATGAAATTTCTGTGCAGGGAAATTCGTTGTCGGAAGAATTCTTAACTTGTTTTAGCCTTTTTACCCTTGTCAGTACAGTGGTGTCCTATGTACCATATAAATATTCAATGGCTTTTTTTAACACCCTGTATAATGATAAAATATAGTTGTTATGTCTCGACATAGGGAGGAAGGGTTAGAGATTATGATGTCTGTAATACACTTACTACCTATTTATTAACACTTGATAAATGTGCATTGTCTGAGAGCTTGGCACGAGCACATGCGGCATCCGGAGGATTTACGCGATCCCATGCGTCACGTTGCACCACCTACGTGGCGTGGTATACGAATACCCAACAGTAGTATTAGATAAACATTGTTTTTATGTACGAAAAATTATATGGTTAATAAAATGATTTAAAACAGTGAAGTAACTGAAGAGTGTATTCCTGCCAGCCTATATTGCCGTAGCAAATTTTTTTTCAACTCCTTTTTTCATGATTTTTCAAGGTTACCTTCAATTTTTTGCAAATACACCTATAATTTTGTTACGCCTATCTGTTAGAGGATTTCAAGACGAATGCGGTATCATAACATAACATGTGTTAGGAGTAAAAAAATTATAGGTGTATTTGCAAAAAATTGAAGGTGACCTTGAAAAGTCATGAAAAAAAAGAGTTCACAAAAACTGTGCTATAATCACGTTAACGCTCTCTTGAAACCATGCTATACCTGATAAAAACATTTTCGATCGGACTGCTAATAACAGAGTAATCTCTACTGAACACGATTCATGGTTCACCCTGTATATGTAAGTTATTCATGTCAAATTAATTTGCAAATTTCTATAATAGAAAATACAATTAAGAATCGAACACCAGCAGGTCGAATTGAAGAGCGTTAGTCGAGTAGCTGGTTTGGCTTTGACTTTTGAGAACACCGTACAAAATCAGGGGTTGAATGGAGTCAGACAGTGAGTCTGTGATATAGTCTTGTGGATTTTCCCGTTTCCCTTCATCTCGCGAACTTTACGCGTAACGTCTTAGAACAATCGAAACTCTTATCATACGATAGCGACCGAAACTTTTCGTCTGACAGTGGCGAAATAAACGCGAGA